CCCCGCCACTATCCCCCGCACAGCCTCCGACTTCGCTCCTGCTCTATTGCATTCTTGAACCCTAACTATAAGTTAGTTTTATTTAAGCTACATTTAGCTAATTTCTGAAAATAAATATAATACTTTTCCTATTTGTCACAAAGATGCTATATATTATACAGCGCCATTGTTTGTACGTTACTTGGGAAATGTTCCACTATTTTAAGATCAAGTTAACAATTTTATTTTGTCAATATTACGTGGAATAAGTTTTTTTTCTAACTAAAAATTGTGTTTATACGAATGTAGTGCATTAACCCCAAGCTTAATAAAAATAACACAAGTTATATACTCACACACACACACGCACACATACGCACACACTGCTGTGAACTACAATATATTCCAACTACACCTTCCCTCATTTAATTTGTGCAAATTTACTACAATATTGTGGACAAAGCAGAACATGCGCAGAACCAAAGGCGCGGGTGCTCTTTGAACTGTTCCTAATTAAACGTGACAACATTGTGTGACCTCTACCTATGATCGATCCCATTAAATGATCACAGTCGAGCGCCGACGGCGACAGCGACCCTACAACGAAGAGTAACATCCATTTGCACGACTGAAACCTTTTCTCCGTGTATTAAGCTTATGTTTGCGAATACAATACTAGTAGTACTGTTCATGCAGTAGACATGAGTCTGGTTGCGGAGGCTCACATTCCTAAATATCCGATTGTTATTAGTTATAATATTATTTAAAATTCTTTAAGCTTTTGCAAATTGTACTTATATGTAGAGAGACCTTTAAAACTTTGATTTACAAAATGGATAATAGTTCATTAATTATAATACAATGTAATATGATGAGGTGTTCTTCACTACTGCGAACTTCACAATACGAAACATTACAATTTCGCCAAGCAAATCACATTTACACTGAGCGGACAACAGTGGTGCGAGTGCGACACAGGACGACACCAGGTAGGGCAGATGTCACCGCGCCGTATGTGCTAAACAACGACACAAATAACGCGCAGCAATGAATGCTCCCCCGCCCCCGCTCCCACCCTCGCCACTGCGCCTGATGAGTGCGTCTCATCAGCTTATGCTAATACAGGGATGTAGTGCGTGGGTGTGGGGTGTGGGGTGCGCGGTGCGGGGTGCGAGCGTGCACTATCGACCGCCGCCTGCATAATGAATGAGGTCCGAGCCCCCGCG